ATATCATGGATAATTTTTGGTACCAGGGAATTAAACTCAGGACCTCGTGCTTGTGAGGCAGGTGCGATGCCACTGAGCTAAATCCCCATCATATCATGGATAATTTTTGAAGCATGATACTTAAACACACTCCTCAGTTTAAGAATGACAGTCTTTAGCTGGGCCCAGTTACACATGCTTGTCATTCCAGCACTCTGAGAGGCTGAGTCAGGAGGATTGGTTATTTAAGCAGTGTGAGCAACTTAGCAAGACCTTGTCTCAAAATAAAAGATAAATTTTATTTTTATTTTTTTCGGTACCAGGGATCGAACTCAGGACCTTGTACTTGCCAGGCAGGTGCAGTACCACTGAACTACCACCCCTGGCCCTGAAAAATAAATTTTAAAAAAGGGCCAGGGAGGTAGCTCAATGCAAAGGGATGGGTTTAATTCCTAGTACTATGGGCATGGGGAGAGGACTGACAACATTTGTAAGTGCATATTCATGTCTATCTTTTCAGCTCTATTTGTAGGGCATAGTCAATGCCCGCTACATTGGTGACTAGTAAATGTTTGTTGGATGAATAAATGAATGAATGCTGGTAGATTGGAAATGGGCAAATAAGTAGCTTTATAGAGAAGAAGGTGGACTGTGGGAACATCAGATTGGTGATCATGGGAAGAAACATTCCTCACCCACAGGGTGAATCGAGGATGGACGTTGATCTAGGAACAGATGGTGCTATGGCCTTTCCTGGCCTTGTTCTCTCTGGGGACCCACAATACAAAGCAGGGAGAAGACAGCATTCATTCTTTTTTTCCATCCGCTAAAAAATGAATGAGCATTTCCTATACATCAGGGTCTGTCAAAACAGTACTTCAAAAAATCACAGTGTGGTTATGCCCTCTGTGGATATAGGTAATAACACCGAACTGTTTTCCTCAACAGGACTAAGATGATCAACCTTGTGTTTGGATGTTTCGCCACATTAAATAAAAAGATCACTGTAGTGGGAGGGAAGGCTTCAACTTGAGTGAGTGAACTGTCCTAGTCACAGGAGGACCCTCCCACAAAGCTCCGCCCCTTCAACTCGGGGGGTGGGGTATGGGCCACTGCGCAATGTGCCACGGCCACAGAGTACTAACGGCTGCTGCTTGTTGGCCACAGAGCTGATAGTCTCTTTAGGTGACCAGTGTGACATGGCTGCCCGATGGTGGCCTTGCCAAGGACTATGAAATACTCTTGGGACTGTAAGGCTGTAATACTTGTTCTGTGGGAGCTGTCCCAGAGCCAGACGCGTGCGGTAGAGGGAGTTGGCGCTCACTGCTACAGAGGTGGTGGGGGAGCCCGGGAGAGCCCCTGTTTGCATGCCTGACCACTAACCTCTGAAGTTTCTCCACAATTTGTCCTGGGCCTCTTCTGCTGCCACCTCCCTCAGTGGTCCCAAGGTTGGTTTCTGTCACCAACACCTGGTGATTCTCTGTTCTGAACTCATCTTCTGTGTCCAGGAACCCACAGGACACTTGGGTGTGGGTGGCCCATAGCTCTGGCTCAGTAGTAGTTTCTTCCTCCTGTACATGCGTCCTGTCTAGGGCTCCCCATCTTACCCTGTGTGCCCAGGTTTGCCCATTTCTTTTTTTTTTTTTTTTTTGGTACTGGGAATTGAACTCAGGACCTTGAGCTTGCCAGGCAGGCATGGTGCCACTGAGCTATATCCCTGGCCCATGCCAATTTCTTTTCTTTTTTTTGGTACGGGGGGCGGGGGGGGTCAAACTTGGGTCTTTGCGCTTGCGTAGCAGGTGGTGAAACCACTGAGCTAAATCCCCGGCCCTTGCCAGTTTCTTGCTTTAGGCTTCTGACTGTACTTGACTCCTATCTCCTTTCATGCAATCCCCATGTTGCTTCTGACCTGCTATCTTCTTGAAGCTGGGCTCAGGTAGCTCTAAGTGACCCTGAAGAGATGGTGTCAACTGATATTTTGGGACACTTGTTTTAGATGGGGTTTCCTTTTGTGGCTCTGACCAGTGGCAGTATCCCGAGGCTGGGGGTCAGGGAGATGAGAGAGGGGTGGCTGCTTAAATTAGTTTAGATGCTGCGAGAGACCCAAAATAACCGTGAGTTATGCTGGAACAGATGCTTATATCTCACCCACGTGACCGTCCGGGTCTGTCCTACCCAGGGCTGATATCACAACCCTGCAGGATGCTTGTCCTGCTGCCCTGTGGTGCCCAGCGCACCAGCATTGGCAGCACTGTCCCCAAAGCCTCATCACATCTGCACTCCAGCCAGAGAGGGGAGCAGGGAGAAGCAGGGATGTCCTTCACTTTAAAGGCACAACCCAGAAGTTGAACTGAGCAGTTCCTCTCAAACCCTATTAGGTAGAAAATGGTCACATGGCCACACCCAGCTGCAAGGGAGGCTGGGACCTGTAGTCTGCAGTTTCGTGACCCTGTGCCCAGCTAAAAATCCTATAGAAGGGGAGGATGGGTGTAAGGGTTTATACCACAGTCACTGTGCACATTTCAGTGTGACTTATATGGCAGCTATGCCCAAACCTTAGGGATAATAGTGCCTTCAGCCTTGACACACTGATGACATGCCATCAGTTTCTAGCAAACTCTTTTAGAAATGGGATCATTGAGCTCAGAGAAGGGAAGTCGCCTCATTAAGACTGTACAGCAGAGAGGGCTGGGGATTTAGCTCAGTGGCTCCACCACCTGCTCTGCAAGCACAAGGACCTGAGTTTGATCCCCAGTACCAAAAAAAAAAAAAAAGAAAGAAAGAAAAAGAAAACTGAACAGCAGAGTGTCAAAGCTGGGACTAGAACCCTGAGGTTTGGGCTCACTTTCTGCCATGCCAAGACTGGTTGTCAGCAGACCAGGAACAGCAATAGGCCAGGTCTTGTGGGGCCTGGAAGGGGCTGCCTTTCCCAGCCTCTCCAGGGAGATGGTCCTGGCTCTTGAGGACGCATCCCTGGGCGGTCATGGCTCTGAGATGCCCCCTAGTGGCCCTTGCTGCAGTGTATTCTGTACCAAACTGCTCCAATTTATCTGCATACAGACTTCCCTACCCTGCTGGCATCTGCTCCTTGGGGACAGTCTTGTCATCTCTCTGTTCCCATTGCTGCCCTCCTGGGCACTCAGTGAATAAATGAATTACTGAATATGTGACTGAATCTATTATATCCAAGGACTCCTTCACTTGCAGATAATAGAAACTTAACTCCAATTGACTTAATAAAAAAAAAGATTAGTTCAGGTATGCGGCTGGTCTGGGCACAGCTGGGTCCAGGGGCTTCGCTGAAATTTCAGAGCTCTGGGTCTCTCTGGCTTTCTCTTGATGGGAAGTTGCCCAAGGAGTGCTGCAGGGAGTGGGAAGAGTCGGGGTTAGGAGAACACCAGGTGATGCTGGTTGCTGTGGTGGGGCTGAGGAGTCCATAGTGGGCACCCTCAAGTCTGGGGTACCTTGGGCCTAGTCTCAGTCCAGTTTCTTGCTTTGGCTTTATGGGACAGCATCTCAGATCGTATATTGGGGCTGCCCCAATTGTGCTGGGGCTGGAGGCACCTGCAGTGCCCCTTCGGTGAAGGTGGCATTGTCCTCCCTCCACTTCTCTCTGGAAGGCCGACGCCCTCTGTGGTCTTCCTGACAGGGTTCCAGGGAGGCCCCCACAGCTGGCTGGGCCTGGGATCCAGGAGGAGGAGGGAGGGCCAGCTTCAGACTCTCTGAGAGGTCCCACCTGGGCAGAAGGGGTCCCCTCTGTAGGAAAAGTAGTTGGGGTGGGCTGCATTTGACATGAAGTCTGTTTCTGGGAGGCCCCAGAACCATGAGGCTCAGTGTACTAGGGCTGCCTGTCTGTCCCAATGGGCAGTGACTGACTTCCTGTCCCCAGGCCACCCTTCTGATCCCCAAGTGCCACCTTGCCCCCAAGAGGTGTTTATCCTGTTTTCAGTGCCCTGGGGTCCAGCTGTTGGGTACGAGTTCTCAGTGCCATGGATTTCTCAGAACTCCCAAGGGTGGGCATGAGGGTGGGTTGCTGGATCCCACATCTAGGAAAGGAATCCAAAAGCAAACCCAGTGCCCACCCCTGGGAGCCCCTCTTATTCCCTCTGGATGGAAGAATAGCTCAGCTTTTGGGGAGTCCCGACAGGTCTGATCAGGAGAGGTGCTCCCTGGTCCCCATAAGTGCAGGTGGGCAGCCGATGTTCCCAAGGGATCCCATGTTGGAAACCCCAGTGGTGGGAGGAATCAGTTTTCTGTGGAGCAATCATAAGAAGGGTCTTGAGAGGAAGGCAGGTTTCCTTCTAGGGTTAATGGGAAGCCATGGGAAGTTCTTGAGCAGGGTAGGAGGTGAGCAGATTCCTGTCTTAAAAGAAGGCACTGAGAGAAGGAGGTTGATGGGGAAAAGTGGAGTTAGTGGGCCAAGTAGGGAGGCAGGAGGGCCAGTGGAAGGGAGAAGGGTGCAGCTCAGGGGTCCCAGACCGGCTCAGGTTCTGTCCAAGTGGGAGAGAGGAAAGGAACTGTGGAACCCGGAGCTCCTTTGTCCAGAGCTTTGGGCTTTCTGTGGCATGTGTGGTGGTGCTCGCTGCAGGCAGCTGCCTGCTAGGGTTTCCTGTGGGCTGGGGTGGCCCTCGCCGCAGGGCAGGATGTGGTACCCACAAAGGGTTCCTTTATGAATGGTGCAGAAGGCTGCTGAGTCAGCAGGCGGTGAGGCTTTGAGGCAGCCAGATTTGGGACCAGAAACGCCTGGCAAGGAAGTGGCTGCTCAGGGCTTCCCCACTGGCTGTCTGGGGGAGGAGGAGGTGGTGGCCAGGATGCACCCAGGGTGGCGGAGGGTGCAGGGACGGGCATGGATGCTGTGGTTCCGAGTGAGGTGTGCTCCACAGAAGGGCAGAGAGGGATGGCAGGACTGGGCTCTCAGCTATGCAAACTGGCAAATGACACATCTGTCCTGGAAAAACAGCCAAATGGTGCAGCTTGTCTCCTTGGGGGCTCAGATTCTTGCTGATCTGTGGTGGCTGGCAGGGGTAGACACTGGTTATACAGCTTGAGCAGGATGTGGCAGGAGCAATCAGGAAATGGCTGTGGGACACAGGGAGGAGGTATGTGCAGCCTGCCCGAATTGGACACCTCAGCAGAGGCCAGACCAGAAGCAGGGTGTACCCAGGGAAGTTGGGGGCTTCTGGCCCAGCCTGACCTGTGGCCACAGCTCTGCTTCTCACACGGACCTGACTCCAGCCTTTAGGGTCAGCTCTACTCCTGCCTCTTCCATTTCTGATCAGCCTCAGTCACTTGGCACACAAGCACTGCACTAGCAAATGCATCTCTTGAGTGACACACACCCCCCCGCCCCCGCCATGCACCAAGCTGCCCTCAAACTCTGCCCTGGGAATTTCTGCACCAACCCTGCTAGTTTCATACCTCACACAGAAGCCTCCACATTCTCTGCCCCAGTGAAGGCCCTTCCTGGTCAACTGGTCAACCCAAGTGCTGTCACTTTTGCCCAGTCCTTCTCATTTAACCACTGTCAGCCTAATCTACGGGAAGCTCAGCCCTGACCATGCCATTTCTCCATTCAGGAACACTTGGTGGCTCCTAACTGCTTTTGGTCAGAGTGCACACCTCTAGCTCCTCCCTGAGTCTGGCTGCAGCCTGGTTCCTACTCTCACCACCACCTCCTACCTGGAGCCAAAATGACTCGTGCACCAGCTTGCTCGAGGGTGGGCCACCTCACCTTACTTGCCACCTGGCTGCCTCCTCCACAGACTTGGACACTCATGTCTTCAGGGTCAGCGTCAGCCTCCTGGCCCTGCTCCACCCTCCCCCTGCCAGCAGCATCTTACCAAGATCGCTCAGCAGGGAGCCCTGGGGTATGAGCAGCAGGACCTCCCCGTGGGCAGCTGGTCCTGGGGAGCCTCGGTGAGAGAGGCCCTGGGGAAGACCTTTGGCGACAAAGACCTCACTTCCTCCTCCCCGCAGGCTGAGACAGCCTTTGACTGGAGAGAGCCCAGCTGTCAGCTGCCTCACAGGAAGATGCTGCATGCACCAGGCAGCCCCAGCATGGGTGTGCACGTGGGCACAGCCCTGGGCATGCTGTGCCTCTGCCTCACAGGTGAGAGCAGGGACTCAGACCATGGCAGTGGGAGTCTGGGGTGCCCACCCCTACCTGGGCTCCTGCCAAACTGGGACCCTCATTTCCACCTGTGGGACCCAAGAGCAACCTCCTTTGCCTTTCCTAGCCTCCACGTCCTGTCTGTAAAGTGGGAACGTGGGTACCAGGTACTAAATGCGACCTCCTCTGTGTTTCCTGGCTTTCTTGTATAAAACAACACAGGCCCCTCCACCCCTTCCTCTCCCCAGCCTTATTGCGCTCAATACCTGTAAACTTTTTCCTCCATGGCAAGACAAAGCCTGGTCTTTGGAGCCATCTTGTGGTCACGCAGAGGCGGTGCCCATCTCTACCATGGGTGTTGTGATCCCTCTAGAAAGGGCTTCATCTAGGCGACTGCAGGTCTGTGCCCCAGATGTCCCCTACCGCGGGCACCCTGATCCACCTGGCCTGAGATGTCCTGGGGTTTTATGAAGGGATCCAGGGCCAGTGTAAGGCCTTTGAAGATCTCCATGCACTGAAAAAATTCGTATTAATCTACAGTGAAAATGCTATAAATAAATCTCATCTTTCTAAACTTTCCATGGACTCCTTCCTGATAGCTTCAGGCCGGGTCTCCCCACCTACTGTCCCCGCTCCTTGGGTTCCTCCTACACTGGCTTTGTATCTCGGCTGTCACCTCTTTAAGGAACTCATGCCTCTCTACCATATTTAAAGGCACGGGCATGCTTTCTTGTAAAAAAAAAAAAAATCATTTTAGAAAGAGAAGAAAAAGCACTTGTGACACTCTTTCATCCAGAGAAAACAGCTGTTAATATTTGTACGCATACATAGGTTAGTCTCCCCTTCTCAATTTATTAAAATTGTTAAGTATTGATGGGAAAATGAAGGGGAGGGGGTCCACGGAGACCAGGAGGCCCCGCCCTCCTCATCACCGGGTCCTCATTGCCCCGCCCCAGGAGCCGTGGACGTCCAGGTCCCCGAGGACCCTGTGGTGGCCCTGGTGGGCACCGACGCCACCCTGCGCTGCTCCTTCTCCCCGGAACCCGACTTCAGCCTTGCACAGCTCAACCTCATCTGGCAGCTGACTGACACCAAGCAGCTGGTGCACAGTTTCGCGGAGGG